TATTTATTTATTTATTTATTTTTTAAATTACACTAAGGAAATATGTAAATAACAATGAAGTAATGCGACAAGGGGAATATAAAATAGTCTTGTAAGTTACTCCTGAGGATGACGTAGATCACGTCGAAACATGTACGTGTAGAGTGATATTTTAAAGTGGAAGCCGTACGACTTCAATAAAGTTTTTATTGTGTAAATATAAAACTTGTTTTTAGTTATTTTTTAAAATTTTAAACACAAGTACCGGTAGTGCGTATTTACTGTTTTAACACACAACTTCTCATATTACTAGTTGTCTGCTAAGCCTAACACTTCATCTAACACTGAACATAATTTTCATTTTTTCTTGACGATTATCAGATATATAACTGTCAGGACTGTGATCGTTCATGTTTTCAGGGTCTTTAATAGACCCACTAAAGCTGAAGTTCACCGATATGCTAACCGGATGCAAAACGGGAATTTTGTCATCATGACTGTTAACAAACGGATCTAGCAATCCAGCATCTAGAGTCAATGGGATGTAAAATGTTCCTTTAGGATGTAGAGCGAATACTGGAATACCTGAAGTCCACGTGGGAGAAAAGAAACTTGGAGAACGAACACTAATGTTGGTGGGATGCCTCCTATGTGAACTATATTTACGTTTCGCTATGTACGTAGGCACGTCACTGTTTGCACTGTATTCACAGTTGCTACTGGTAGGCAGCACAGTTGAAGAAGGGCTAGGGTTAGACCTACAGCTGCTACTAGAGTCCACCGCATTGTCCCATTGAGGAGAGTTTCTACCCCCAAAGGAGCTCTTCTCAGCAGTTAACTCGTGGCTGTGAAGAATTAGGGGGCAGTGCGTAAGGAGAATCCCTGGTGAACAGGATAAAGAGTTTGTCATTCCGGGAGGAGAATGACTTTGGTGCTGTGAAGAATTTAAATTACCTGAGTGGTCGGTGTTCCGTTGAGTATCAACAAGAGAAATGTACGATTGTTGGTCTGCAGTGAATCGCTCCTTTATGTTCTGCTTGAACTTGTAGACCAACTTCCCCTTTTGGAGAACACGAGAGCTACCAGGAGCAGAGCACGTATTTCTAGTGTTGCTACTCACTGGCAGTCCAGGGTTTTGTAGCATCTCCCTGAGTTGGCTCGAATGTTGACTCTCAACTGTTGACTCATCGCTGTGTAGCGACTTGGCGAGCGGGACAGAAACCTCTGGGTGTGACCGCGTGGCTGTAAGGTCAGTACACATGTAGGAAATCTTTAATGGAAGTTTCTTACCAAAAATATGATGACACCGAGTTGAATCAACGGCACGTGACGGTGGCATAATCTCATCAGAGGGCGTACTTGGTTTTAAGTAAGCTTCTTCCTCTAAAGGAACATCGGCGATATTTTCTGTCGACATCAAAGGGTTCAAAACTTCCGCGTTGTTGATGCATGTGTCTGAAATACCAATACTCGTGTACATGTGGGCGTTTTTATATATATAAATAAACAATTTCATCGTGCTGCCATCTCTTGATAAATATATAAACTAAATATAAATTACAATAAAACAACGAAAAAAATTCATGTATTGTTTCACTTGTGGGATATAATTATTTTAACAGTGTAAAAAACACTCAAGCAAATCAAAATTGTTACATATACAAATATACATACAAAACATTCCAAAGCCATGCTAACCTTTTCAATCTGTTATATGTATATATACACTCATATGGTATATGCCAAAGCACCTTCAGACACCTCCAGATAATTATTCTTTGACTTTATTTTCTTCTCTGGTTAAAGCGTGAGGTTTTAAATTCTCTACCCACCATTATGGGTTAGTTTATAAATACTTATATCAAATAAGTACGGGTTATATACTACTGATGATATTTGTCCTTCAAAACCAAAGTAGACCATTCAATGATCGTCTGAAATCAATACTAGAGAAAATAAAAATACCCTCGGACTGGTAAAAAATAACTTTCAATACCTTCATTAATTTTGTTGTAGTGTTTCTGGAGATGTTTAACCAACTGCATACGAGATTGTTCTCCATTGAACATGCCGTCAGTTTCCATTAGAAACCGGATGGTTTCAAACATACATTCCTGAAACCCCATCTTGTAGTGATGTCGTTGGTTTTGATCAACATTCTTCCTCACCTCACAACTGCCTGTTGGATCAAACACAACTGAATAGCATTCTAAAGAGCAATAATCCTAATGGGACTTATCTTTCTTCTCTGTATGTAACATTGTTATTACTAGGGGATTTCCATAAACACCAATAAAGTTATATCTAAGTGAATTGGCTCGTGACTTGTATAATTTCACAAAGCATGTAGGGTTTTTGAAACTTTTTATGGTGAAACCTACTGATGGAAACAACTGTTACAACAAGCGTTTTCACAACATACCTTCCGGCTAGTGCTAAGAAAACATCATTCTGAAATTCACACAGAGTGGAGTGAAATGTTTATCTAAATGTGCTGCTGTGGTTTTAAGTCGTCACCAGCGATGTCTGTTAGTGTAGAATGTTCTTTACAGAGTGATGTGAAATGATTTATTTAAATGTGTTGCTGTGGTTTTAAGTCGTCACCAGCGATGTCTGTTAGTGTAGAATGTTCTGTACAGAGTGATGTGAAATGTTTATTTAAATGTGCTGCTGTGGTTTTAAGTCGTCACCAGCGATGTCTGTTAGTACAGAACATTCTACACTAACAGACAACGCTGGTGACGACTTAAAACCACAGCAGCACATTTAAATAAATCATTTCACATCACTCTGTAAAGAACATTCCATATGAATACACATCGCTGATGACGAATTAAAAAAACCACAGCAACACATTCAGATAAACATTTTCACACCATTCTGTCTGAGTTGGATGTCAACAGATGGCACTGTAAGCATAGAAAAACTGGTAATCTTCGTGTAGTGGTTCAAAAATATATTTAAATTCAATTTGTTTTATATGTAGACGAAATGTCATGGTTTACTTTTTAACTCTAAGTTTCACCACATCTACTTCCAAGTTGTTATTTTTTTGTAACACATGAGTTTTTAAAACGGTACACAACGTGCCCTGCATGGGATAAATGTCTAAACAAGAACTAATTTCAACTGACAAGGCAGCAACGGGATTAGAACATGGGACCCTTTGATTCATGGTCTGGAATGCTGACCATTATGTCACATCCGGGCCACGAACAAAATTATACAATCTTATATACATTATTTTATGACGTCATTAAACAAGGTGTTAGGATTTTGAGTTACCACAACTACTACATTAAGTATTCTTAGAACTTCATTAGTAGATATAAAATCAGAAAACATGCCCTAACTGTACAACTTATATGACAAGTTGAAGCTTAACTTGAAAGTGGGAGAACCTTAGAACTTACTAGAATCTTTAAACTCAACCTTGATTACTCTATTTCTATATAATCTATGGATATTTGAATGTATGTTTGTGTTAGATTTGTAGAACTTACTGGAATCTTTACAGGAGTGAGCTTGAAGGTGATGTAGATATTTGATTGCCATGTCCACGATTTCATTCTTCTCTGTTCTTCCTCGTCCCTAAGAGTCAACATCAAATAGTCACTGTTTTATACTGGCTTCAGAGAAACTCTAATAACATAGAGTATCTACGTGCTGACTAAGCCTAAAAAAATATATTTTGGTGTAACAATGAATACGTCGAACTATGTCAATCGCTATGAGAAATTGAAATAGTTAAGAAAACGAAATAAAAAATCACCGCATGGCTTGGGTGCTGAAAATACAGTTTTAACAACCAAAATAAAAAAGACGATTTTTTTAGGTCAAAGTAAACACTTTAAACATTTTTATTTACCCCGAGTTGAAAATAACATAGAAAATAAGGGTAATATATGTTACAGTATAGAATAACGTTTCTGAACTACACGATAACTATTTTTATTTGTTACGGTATATAATAACGTTTATAG